ATATATATATATATAATTTTTCCTTAATGGTGATTAAGTCAACCAAAAATCTTCAAGCCACTTTGGAATCAGAGATATAATGTCCTCTTGTTATTGAAGGATATGAAGCAGTGGGGTGTACTTCAAGTGCTTATGAGTCTAACATTGATAATGAAAGTTGTGAGGATCAAAATTTACATCGGCATAAGCTTATAAATGAGCAGGCTTTTATAGATAGTGATATATTAGATCAATTGACTAACAACAATGAGTACATATAATACTGTAAAACTGCACAAGAATTGGATGCAATTATAGATTTTTGACGAAAGAAGTGACCACATCACATTCACTCAAGAAGGCTTTGTTCCAACCAAGTTATTGTAAGATATGTTGATTCAAACTATAAGAGATCTTCAATATGGTTTCAGTGGTTGATCAATAACTAACAACGTGCAGTACAAGACTATTTGCTTCAACATGGGTCACCTAACAATCTTTTGTTTGCATCATGATCACCCAGTAGGTCGTGTCAATGGTGCCTTCAAATGAATCTACTAGGAAATGTCTCTTTGGAGCTTGGAAGATTTCAAGTATATCAACACAACACAGTTGCACCAATCCAAACCTTATGTCTAGATATAGAAAATGCACCTCAATTTTTAAATTAGTATTATTATTTCATTCATTCGATAGTAAATGGATCTGAAGCGTAAGGAGAATATCGATCGTGTTGAACTTAAGTTTGACATTAAAACATCATACGTCAAAGTATGGGATGCTAGGAGGAAGGCTATAAAAACAATATTTGAAAGCTGGGAAAAATCATACCATTCACTGCAAAGATTTATGGAAGCAATTTGTTCTGCAATGAGAGGCTTTCTTTATAAATTCAGCTTGGTCATGAATCAATTTTTAAGATTTTTCTGGGCTTTTAGTCCCTTCATTAAAGGATGGAATCATTGCTGACCAATCTTAAGTATGGATAACACATTCTTATTAGGTAAATATTGAGTTACTTTAATGACAACAATTGGCATCGATGCTGATAATGGTATATTTCCACTATTATTAACTATTGTTGAGTCAAAATATAATGACTCTTGGTGGTGGTTTATACATACATTAGAAGAGACAATTTCATTAGTGTCTTCTAGAAAAGATCTTTTATAATCTTAAATCAACATGTTGGAACTTTGAATGCTTGTCATGATATCTTTTCATGGACAACTGATAAACATTACCTTAGACATTTGTAAGGCTGATCTTCGAAAATATAGTTGAATAAAAATTATAAAGGTGACTCTACTTTACAACATTGCCAAAAACTAGATGTGATATTTTATGAATAAGAACATTAATCACTTAATGTAGGGATTCTACGCAAGTATACATATCATTATCAAGTAATATAAGACTTTCTATTTAAGCCCCAAAATTTGATCCCACGAGGAAGGTTTAAATTTGAAATGATAAATTAACTAGGAAATTCACAGAAACAAAATGAAATAACTATCACTCATTTTAAATGTTTGAGGTACTATCAAAACTAAATTATTAACTACTAGCAAAATCTAAATGCAAATTTTAAAACAGTACTACTAAACTATGTTTATGTGATGAAGTTTTCTAATATGAAAAAACATCTTTCTCACTACAATGAGTTTTTGGTAAAATGAGATGAGATAAATGGTTTAAATATGTATTCTGCCAAATAGGAGCAATTTTAATTCTCTACCCTGATTCAGTGTTATAGAAAATCATTGGCTAATCTCAGGTTTAGTCCCCGTGGCTAGGCTAGGAAGGCTAGGAGGATACTGTCTCTCACTCCTGAGCTCCCACTTCTCTTCCTCTGAAGGCTAACGCTCACTTTAGTTCTTAAACACTAAGTTTGAATTGGGGATTTTAGTCTGACACCCTAAGAAATCTCCAATTCTACACCCATCAAAGTATATTTCCCTATTTATTTGTACTTAATTCGATTTCATGAATGAAATACTCCTTCATGGAATTAAGTGTGATTCTCACTCTGTTGTAGAACTCATACTCCATTTCCCGGATCATATGTTTCACAATTCATTTTAACAATTCAATTGACCAGATCGAAAAGTAAATTAAGAACGGAGTTGAAAAACAATCATAATTTACTTTATATTATAACATTGGCACATCCAAATTATCTTTTCATTTCTCCATATCTCGGAGTAGGGAGAAAGATAAAGGAAACTACCCAGACTTCATGAGAAAGATACAACAAAACACAAATTTCATATACAAAATAAAGTTCATACAACAATCATAAACAAACAACACTTATCTCCCTCTCCAAGCGAATCCCATGTAGCCTCTCTTAGGAAATGTAGGAAGAAGAAATACACTTAGAGAAGAATTCACGCTTAAAATCACCACAAAAACTCAAAACTGTATAGAAAAATAAATGACTAATGGACTCTAAGTGGCTGTAGGGAATGTGGAATGGTGTGAAAGAGAGTAGAAAGCGGTTGAAGGGTGCGAAGAGAGGTCTTTTCTGATCAATTTTCACTCTAAATAGAGCCTAATGTCGATTTTCCAATAGGCGCATCAAAAAACTTTTCAAAAAGCATCCAAATTCATCGAATCTTCTAGAAACAGGTCCTTTTAGAAACAGGGCTTGCACCGATATTGGTGTCGTCGGTGCCCATTCTGGCTTCGTCGGTGCTAGTGGCCCATGAATTAATTCCGTGCTCTCTGTCGGCATTGCTCCTAGCACCGTCGGTGCTGAGTAAAATCTGGCCTTTATTCTATATGATGGCCTATCCTAGCGTCGTCGGTGCTGAGTATTTCTTCATAAATGCTATTTTGACTCCAAATTCCATCCTTTTTGCGTCATTTTTGCTTCAACTCCTAAAAATCAACAACCTCCAATAAAACATAGAAAATACCTTCTCTTAAAGTGCAATATTACCAAAAATAAATATAAAATATAGGTCTAAATATGCATGTATTTTTAGTGTATCAAGGATCGAAAAGTAATTGAAGATCAAAGTGAATCATCACAATTTATTGACATTTAAAACCTTACATAACAAAATTAATTCTGCACAAAAGCATATCTCATTATAGAAAGAAGAATAAAAAAGACTTCTCAGAATTCATGAGAAGGATATGAAAAAACATGAATTATATATATAAAAACAAGTTTACAAAACAAAAAAGGGAAAGAACATAACTTATCTCACACTCCTTCTCAAGCAAATCCCTTAAAGTTCTTTTTAGGCACTTTTTCTCTTTATAATCACACTCAATTCTTTCTTAAAAAAGTAACGAAGAAGAGATCTGTCACTTTCCCTCTCCTCTTACAACTTTAAAAGAAAATCATCTTTTCCACTAAGACTTATCACGCCTCTCTTATGCATGCCACCACTTTCCCACACACTAGACTCCCTTTTCAATTTGGGCGCCAACCCTCTCTTCAAAGAATTCAAAATTCCCACCTTTTTCCCAAAAGGGATACCTCTTCACATTAAGAGACAAATCCCTTCATCTAAGAGACATATCTCTTCATTGAAGAGTCTTTCCAAAGTGTCTAGATG